CACGCTGCCTCCCGCCGCTGCCCTGCCCAGGCCAGGGACCTCGAAGTGCTGGCATTTCCGCCGCAGGATGTTGACCTCGTTGGCCTGGAGCGGAGCCACGTTCTGCTTCACCTGGAAGGCCAGTTTCTTGGTGTTTGTCCACTGCTCGGGCAGCTCCTGCGGGGAGCAGAGGCCAGGGCGGTCCTTTTTCAAAAACTTTTCTTTTTAAAAAGCTTTCTGCTGGGATAGAACAGTGGACTCATGGGAGGCTGCAAAAATAGCTCAAAGCATCTTGTGGATCCTCGCCAAGCCTCATGGGGTAGCAAACCAGGAGCCCGATACAGGCGTGTTTAGTAACCAGATCACAGGACGCTCCGCTCGGCATGTTTTCACAGGTTGCCCTTGTGCGTGAGTGTGCACGTGTGTAGGTATGCGCAGTCCTGTGCAGTTCCGTCCCGTGCAGACATCTGTGTACCACACAATCGAGGACCTGAAATCCCCTCATGTCTGCCACTGCCCCCACCCCCATCCCTGCTGATCACTACCCTGGTCCTCCTTTTCCATTGTTTTACCCCTTTCTGGAACGGCTCTGACAATCAGACAAATTTCCTTGTTTTCCGAGTTCTCCACACTTAGGCAAATATTGTACTTACTATTATAAAATACTGTAAAGTAAGCAAACAAACAAGTCATGGCCCATGAACTCTTGGCCTACAAATGGAGGAGCTGTTTCTATTCCTTCTGAGGCCGATGGCCCTGTGCTGTCGACAGTAGCTGGCCTCCAGCCGTTCTTACCTCCCAGGTGGCATCCCCTCAGGACTGGCCACACACTTCAAGTCCCCAGACCTCTGCTGGCCTTGGGTGGTGGCGGTGTACCCAAGAATCCTTTCGTGCCTGGTCCCCACCCAACAGGCTCCAGTGAGCACTCAGCCTGGGATCGTCCTGGCCGTGCAGGGCCCCGAGCCTGCTGGCCGCTGTCCCCCTTGTTTCCTGGGCCCTGAGCGTGGCACTGGCTGGAGTTGGTGCCTGCGGACAGGGAGTGGCCTGGTCTGAATGGACCCAGAGGAGGGCGGGAGCAGAGCAGACGGGTCTGGGAGGGACGGAAACTCCAGGACACACGCAGGCAGACGGGCTGGCAGCTCCTGGGTGACCCCTCAAGGTGGAGCCCTGCTCTATGTCCTGCCAGCTCCAGCCCAGCCATACACAGCTGTCACCTCCGGTGCCAAAGCAGATAATCTCAGCGTCAAAGTGCCAAAGACAGGCAGCTTCCTGCCCTCCTCCCCTTCCTCCTCTGAACACCCACCTCCAGGGCTCTGCTCTGACCTCTGCTCTCCAGAGCCCTGGGCCCAGGAGGGTGACGTGGGCCATGAAAGTGGGTTTTACCCAACAAAATGATCAAATAGGACTTTTCCAAACTTGGAGGAGCCTCCAGGGCCCTGTTCTCCCGGAAACCTCCTTTCCCCACTTGGCCACCCACAGGGCCTCACCTGCCACGCCTCCACCTTGAGCTGTGACCACCCAGTGTCCGCTGACCACAGGGCACCGTGCCTCTCACAGCAGGTCCCCCCGGCCCACCAATGGCTCCCGTCTCCCTCCGACCCCTACCTGCAGCTTCAGGTAGGTCTCCTCTGGCAGGTCTTCCCCATAGGACTTGAGCAGCTCGACGGTTCGCGTCAGGGGCTCGAACATGCCATCGGTGGCCGCCTGCCGCTCCCTGACCTTCATCAGGTGACCCATCACCGCCACCAGGCCATCGTAGTCCCCCTCCTTGAGTGGCTTTGTCAGGCCCACCCGGGCCACTTTCATGAAGGCTTCTAGGTCTGCGAGGCTGAGGGATAAAGGGACCCTCTGCGATAGTACGCAGAGCCTCTGTGCTCAGTAAACGGGGACAGGGTGGAGGAGTGGAGCATGTGCTCACAGCCAGCTGACACCTGCTGCTGGAAGGTCAAACTCTGACCTTCACCCCATCCCTCCCCTGGAAGAGGTGCTCCCCAGACCCCAAACCCAACGGGACACCCCCGTTTCCGGTGCCCTCACGCACTTCCTGGTTCTGCGGGCGGGGCCTATCACACCTGTCGACCACGTGGTCACTCAGGTACCGCTTGAACATGAAGCTCCAGCGCTTGATGGTGTTCAGCAGGGCCTGCTTGAAGGGGCGGCAGTCACACTGCAGCCAGCTGTGGAAGACACGCGTGTTCTCGCACCGGGACACCTCCTCGTACAGCTTCTCGTAGGAGTCGATCTGGGAACACGGATGCAGGCGCCCATCAAGGTCTGCCTGGCCCCAGCCACACGCTGGCTCCCGGCCAGCAGCACAGGGAGCCCGAGGTTTTCCCAGGTGGCCCCCACGGACTCCACCGCAAAGGGAGAGACTTCTGTCTCAGGGCAGGATGAAGCGTCCTGAGTGACCGCGACTCTCGTGCTCGGCGATCTCCTGGGCCACCCCACCCCCGTACGGAGCACATGGGATCCCGGGCCCCTCCTCACCGTGAGGCGGAGCGGCCTGCCTCAGCTCTGCCCGGCTGTTCCCGGTGTGGTCCGGGCTGACGCTGGGCTGCTCGTGGGCTCCCTGTCCCTCCAGCCGCCGCCCCCCATGGGGCTCCCCGGCCTCCACCTGGCCGGCTGCTATTCACACCAATCAGTTCACACTGCCCGCTCTGTCCATTGCTTCCCATGGAAACCAAAGAAGCCTGCTGTCCCGCCGGGCCCTGCTCCCTCTGCCCTCTGACTGGCCCTGGCGCGCCCCCGTGTGGCCCTGTGTGGTGTGACAGGCCCACTCCTCTGGAACTGGAATAAACTAGGTTCTCATGGCTGTTGTTTTGCCGCACCTGTTGGCCTCACCCCGCCCAAAGGACAATCAAACCTACATCTTAGATCCCTTCAGCCAGCTGTGTTTTTGTTTTATTTTTGCCATTCTGGGGATTGAACCCAGGGCCTTCACACTGACCTACAACCCCAGTCCTTTTTTATTTTGACACAAAGGCATGCTAAGTAGCTAAACTATACAGGCTGGGCTCAAATTTACAGTCTTCCTGCCTCAGTCTCCCAGACTGCGGGGGTCACACGCGTGAGACACCACAGCTGTGTACACCCAGGTTTTACACGGGGCCCGGGGCCCCTCCGCTGGTGGCGGAGGTGGCGTTACCTGCTGCTGGAACTGAGCGAGGCCGGGTGGGCTCTTGGGGACGGCATCCTGGGTCAGGGTGTCCAGTTCCTCTGGGGTGGGCGTGTGTCCGAAGATCAGGAAATTCTTCATGAACTCCTGAAGGTCGTCCATCCAGAGGTAGGAGTACTTCTCCAGCGTGTCCTGGTACTCCTCGGCCTCCTTCATGGCGTTGATGACCAGGGTGCACAGCTCCTCCCTCATCTCTATGAGATCTGTGGTGTCTTCCAGGTCTGTCTGACGGGGGAAGCAGCCAGCAGGTGAGGATGCTGCCGGGCTTTGGAAAGCAGCCCTCTGCTCGTGGAAGTGGGGCTACACCCTCAAGACCGGATGGAGAGCAACCTGCCAATTTGCAGTGTTCTAGATTTGCTGCATGAGGCTTTTGCCTGCTGGGCCCCAAGATGACTCACTCACAATTCCTTCACTCCCTACCTACCTGGCCCTTGCTGTGCACCACATGCTGGGACAGACACTGGGGGCAGACAAACAGAGATCACAGGGAGTGCACCGTCCAGGGCCATGGGCAGGCATTCTTCCAGGAGTCCCAGAGACAGCATAACCCAGCTCTGATGCTGGCTTCAAGGTGTAATATTAGGAAGTCAGACATGGCCTTGAGGAATGACCTTTGTTGAGAGTTGCTGGACAGGCAGACAAAGAGCAAGAAAAGCAGCTTTTGGAGCAATGGCAAAGCATGTGCAAAGGCCCTGAGGTGGAAAGATGCAGAATGCTTGAAAATGGAAGGAATCTGCTATTGGTGGCTGGAGCACAGCTCAGGCCCTGTGCTGGACAGGATTTTTGAGCTACAGGTGTCAGAAAACCCAACCCAACTGGTGTGAGCAAACAAGTAAACCACTGGCTCCTGTGACTGCAGGACCCCAGAGCAACACATGTGCATGCGTAATGAGCAGAACAGATGGGGTGGTGCAGCTGCTCCCTGCTGGTGCCAGGTGGAGTCCACAGGCTTACAGGTGGGCTGGGGGCAGGGGAGGATGGAGCTGGTGACAAGAATAGGAAAACTGGGTGGCACTTGGGGTCATGGACAGGGGAGACCCCGGGAAAGGCAGCAGGAAGACGAGAACCAGATGCGGAAGCACCAAGCGGCCCGTGGGGGTGGGAAGGTGACCCCTCCCTGCAGTGGCCCTCTCCACTGTGGGAATTCAAGCCCACCTGGGTGTTGCTGGAGTCAGCTCCATGGGGCCTTTCCCTCTCGTGGGAGGAGGGAGCTACAGTCTGCCCTGCTGGGGTCGGGCTGCGGGGTTCTCCTCCCCTGCACAGCCACCCACCTGCCCTGGGTCCGGGGCACTAGGCAGGCAGCCCTCATCCTCCGACCCAGCTCCTGAGTCTCCACCCCTGCCGTCCCACTGGGAGCCCCTGTGGACACGCTGCACAGGCGGCAGTGATTGGGCCTCTGGGAAGCGGCCTAGGGCCCAGCTACAGGCACCCGACTGCGGCACCATCTTCCACCGCTTGGCACCGTGTCAGATCTGGCAGTCTGTGCTGCAGGCTCGGAAGAGACGCCTGGCCAGGAGCCCTTGCTGGGTCTCCAAGACAACGCGTGCTCACGCGTGTGTGTGTTTGTGTGCGTGCGTGCAGGCGCTGTAAGAGCTGGGGGTGGGGGAAGCTCTGTCCACAGCACTTGTTGGGTTTGGGGACACTTGGGCGGGAGAGAAAGCAGCCCTCCACTCTGACTCTGAGGACACGTGTCTGTGCAGCGTCTGTGCCGCTGGTGACGAGCTATTCTGCACTGGACGGCCTGCTGCACGCACTGGGGCCAGGCGAAGCCACCTTTCTGTGGCTTACAAATCCCAGGCCACTTCCTGTATGTGACACCCTGGGAATCTGCCTCCTGTTCCAGGAGTAGCTCTCATGGCCGCACCTCTCAGGAGCCACGCTTGCCCTTCCCCGGAGGGCTCACTTTCCTCCAGGGTTCTCACTACACACACACACACATGTGCACAATGCAACGCACACATGTGACATGTAACTACGCGCACAACACATGCAAACAACATGCAAAGCCACACGTGCAAATGTGCAGCGCACACATGAGTACACAAGCACACAGGTGCAGATCTTATTCACACACAAATTATGCAACTTCCCCATGTGCAAATGCATGCGAACATGTGTACGGTAGTACAGAACGTCTTGCTGTGACTGTTATCACAAACACGTGTGCCCATTACAGAAAAATTCAAACAGTGTAGAAGTATACGAAACAGCGTAGAAATCCTTCTTCCCTTCTACCCTCATCTTGGCTGCCACCAAACAAATCACTCAAAAGTTCTGAGCGTATCCTCAAGGAGACAGATTTTGTTTTTACTTGAACAAAGGAAATCATACCTTAAACCAGCAGCGGGGAACCTATGGTATCACTCAAAGCTCTAAAAGGTTCGCCATCGCTGTTCAAAACTTTGCCCTACAACTTGATAGACGTTTGGTAACCTGGCACATCTGTCCACCCCTGGCTCGTTTAAACTCTGACTTCGTATGAATGGGCCAGACTCTAGCTTCCCATCCCAGAGGGCAGTTGTTTGGCAAAGTCTTCTGATTTTCCTCCCCAGTTATACAAACTAATGCTCTGATCAGCGTACCCGCCCCAGCCTTCCCGTATGGGAGCTGACTTTCCTGTGACTTCTGCACCCCAGACTCTGACCTGGCTCAGGTGTTTCAGGAACTTGGAGCAGGTGCAGAAGAGGAGGAGGAGGAGGAAGGGCCCGACCACTCCTGTAGCTTGTGGGGGTCAACACCCAGGAAGGCCAGCGAGGAGAGGCCACTAGAGGAAGGACAGCTTGGGGAAGGAGAGCAAGCGATGATGGGGTTTGTAGTCCTGCGGACCCCACAGAATACAGACCTCTGAGCCCCTCCTCACATGCAGAGCTAGGGTCGCCTAACACGTCCATAACCAGGCCTCACTCCACTGGGAAGGCTGAGTTCCATGCCAGGAAGCAACGGACACCTCCGCCAGGGCAGCGGATGGGGCTGCGAGAAGCCAGGACTGACCTTGTAGTTCATCCTGCCCTTGGCCAGCCGGGGGATTAGCCTGGCGACATTGTAGATGTCTGTGATCAGGCTGTCGATCAGTGCCAGGAAGCCGAAATCCGAGCCCACCTCCAGCGACGGATTGAAGGTCAGGCCTTCCTCACTCAGCTCCATGCGGATCTCAAACAGGGGTGCGACGCTCTCCTGAAATAAGGCGTCCCTGTGTCAGTGCTGAGCCCCTATCGCTTCCATGCCATCCACGGGGACCCAACACGGCCCAGGGCCGGAGCGGGAAGGCGGTGGCTGGGGCGATGGGTCACTGGGTTCTAAACCCGCCGCTGCTAATTCCCCACTTGACGGCAATGGACGGCTCCCTTAACACCTGGTTTCTGCAGATACATAGAACAAGGGTCATATTTTGTAGAACGGAGGCCATGGTTGTCCCCGCTCCGTTACGAGGACTATACGAACTGTGTACAGCAGCAGGGGACAGTCCCGCAGGTCCCTCGTGTGCATGGCCACAGAACATCCGCTCCTGGACGGCCTGGTGAGGCTGTGAGGCAGGGGACGCCAGCCTGGCCTTCAGGGTACAGGGGTGGAGGTCACTCCTGGGCTCTTCCTGTCATGTCAGTGATACACCCTGTGCCAGGGCCCACGTGTGGCCATGAGGTCCCTACTGCGGCCACTAACCACTTGGGAGCCACTGTAACGAAAAGGCCTCAGGTACGGGAGGAAGCCTGGGCGGACGGGGGTGCAGGGGAAAATTTCCTCCCTCTCCGTGACCGGGTTAGTGTTCCGCTCAGCCTGACAGTGGGGGCTGGGGGTGGTCAGTGGAAGGAGGAAGCCTGGGCGGACGGGGGTGCAGGGGAAAATTTCCTGGTGGCTCTCACCAGCTCCCCCTCTCCGTGACCGGGTTAGTGTTCCGCTCAGCCTGACAGTGGGGGCTGGGGGTGGTCAGTGGCCTGTGTCGCTGCCAGGCCCCCACCCCCACCCTACTGCACAGGGGACAGCGGTGCCTGTGTTCTGTCACTGGGCAGTGAGGTAGGGCCATGCTTTAGATCTGCTTAGGCAGTCTGCTGATTCATGTCACCTCGGGTATAAGGTGACCAGCAGCCCCGAGGGCCTGGGACCTGCGGGTGCCCAGGAGGCAGGACTCTCTCTCTTAACACCAGGAGAACTAGCTGGTCACCTTGGTCAGCGATGGCGAACCTTTCAGAACCCGGGTGCTCAAACGTAACCCCAGACCCACTTACTTATCGCAAAGTGCCAACACCGCCATGAAAGCCCGGGTATCTGACGTTCGGCTGCTGGGGTGATGCCGGCTGACCTGGCTTGCGTGCCGGCAGAGGGGGCCCTGTGTGCCCACTGTGGCATTGTGCCATCAGGTCCCCACGTCTGCTCTAGGGAGATTTTCATACCTTATTTGTAAAATCAAAGTCTGCTGTTTCTTTTGGTTTTGTTTTTGAGATGGGGGTCTCACTATGTAGTTGAGACTGACCTGGAACTCACTATGCAGCCCAGGCTGGTCTTGAAGTCAGTGATCCTCCTGCCTCAGCCTCCCAAGTGCTGGGATTATAGGCATGTGTCACCGCACCCAGCTGAAAGTGCTGTTTCCTCAGGAAACTCCCAACTGGATTCCAGCACAAGACTTCATTTATGACACACACGCAGTACTTCATACGGAAAACTTACATCCACAGTCATGTTGCTGATGAGGTAGTTGAGAGATTTGCGAATGAATCGGTCCAACGCCTCCAGCACCATCTCGTCAAGGCAGTTGACATAATCCTTCCAGGGCAGGCTGGCCGTGTCTGCTCTGAACAGTTCTGCGTTTTCCTGCAAGCGGAAGCACGTGGCCAGCTGCCTTCACCCTGGCTTGCTCTGCGCAGCCCACTGGGTGGCCCTGGGCCACCCCGGCCCTTGTTCAAGGGCTCCGGGACATGGGTCAGCTGTGAGCTTCCGGGACGTGCCTGGCCCAGGCTGCGCCCTCCCATCCCTGCCCAGTCAGGCTTCTTCTGATCTTCTAGGTTTCAGCTCAGACGCCACCCCCTCAGGAAGACCCTCCTCGAGCACCCTCTCGTGTGCCCCAGGCTGGGTTCCATCCCTGACCCCTCTGTGTTCCTCTACTGATCAGATACTTCTGGCCACACACAGACGACAGCACTGTTTTCCCCTCAGATGTCCAGCTTCAGGAGAGCCAGGACGAGTGTCCTCGCCACCACTTCTCCCGGTGCTCAGCGGAGCGCCTGGGCCGTGGCCGGCGTGGGTGAGCAGTGATGGACAGGGGCTGGGGGTGGGGGACTGGATGACTCTGTAGGCCACTGAGTGCTACAGGGGGACGGGAGGAGACACATGACAGCCCGTGCTTTCAGGCAGTTACAGGAGTAGAGAGAAGGAAGACACGTGCTCAAATGATTTTAGCATAAGAAAGAAGCGGCTAAAATGACCGTCAGGGGAGTCGCCGAATGTGGCAACCAAGCCTGGCTATCTCATCAAATGTGGAAAACGGGGGAGCTCGGACCTCAGCCTCAACCCTCCTGACCCGCTTCCTCGCCTGGCCTTTGGTTGAGCTCCTGGTGCTTGGCTCTGAAGCTTGCCCGACTGGAAAGCAAACTTCTCACGTCTAAGAGTGAGACCTTCTGGCACCATGGCAAGCAAGGGGGAAGGGAAAGGACCTGGACAGGGGCACGGTAGGCTTTGGTCTGGCCAAGTCATTCCATTGAGGCAATCATCTTTTTTTGGGGGGGGGTACTGGGGATCGAACTTGGAACCTTGCGCTTGTGAGGCAGGCGGTGGCCCACTGAGCTACATCCCCGGCCCAGGGCAGCAATCTTGACAGCAATGAGGTGACCATAAGAACAGCCTGCATAGTCCAAACCTGCACAGGGCCCGGTGGGCTGCCTGCATGTGGCAGCCCGTCACCAAAGCCCACACCACTGCTCACCACGCACTAGGACCCCCAGCAGGGGCCCCAGACGTATCCTGAGCTCCAGAATTGCCCTTTCCCAGGCTGACGCACACCCCCACCTTCCGTATATTCTCCGCAGAGGAGTGCTGAAGTGCGCGTGGACGGAAAGCAGCGTCAGGCGGCCACGGTGCATTCTCCCTGGGAACATGACCGCGGAGGCGGAGGGACGTGGGCCCACCTACCGCGGACTCTGGGCAGAAAGAAGGGCACTGCCTACACCGAGGCAGCAGAGCAGACCTGACACCACACTGTGCCCGACAACGTGCACGTGCACCTTCCGGCACCCCTCACTCTCCCTGTCATACTCACGGGTGGAAACTGTGGAGGACACCCACAAGCAGGCCTCCATCCCGGAAGTCAGACCTGCGTCTGCTGTGAAGGTCTCGCCACACCAGCCTTCCCCTCTGGGAAAGAGCAAGCGGACTCCCGATGGACCTCCCAGGTGCGTCCTTACCGCCACCATGGCTTGGATCCTCACGCCCGCCTCCTTGACGGCTGTGTAGCGCTTGTTCAGATGAACCACCCTTCCATCCAGGTCTAACAGGGCCTCTTTCTTGTTGTCTTTTCTTTCAAACAGAGGGTTGGCTGACCAATCCTGGAGGAAGATGCAGTGGTGAGAACAGTCCTTTTGGGGACGGTGTGTTTGGTCTCACAACTCTTCAGCCCCCTCTGCTGTGATCTCCTTGTCCCTTGCTTATCTCAGACTGGTGATTTGTTCCCTGTGATCTGTGTCCCCCTGGGGCCACAGGCACCATTGCTTATGTTAACTTTCTGAGAAAATTACTTCAGGGTTCATTCCATTCCAAACGAAAACTGAGTCAGAGCCAGGGATTTAGCTCAGCAGTACCCTGGTACCCCCCACCCCAAATGATGGTGAGAAATGGTTGTCTACCATTTAGTATCAGAGCAGATACTGATAAAATTTACGTGGGCTGTAACACAGAAAAGAAGTGTCACACTGAAAATGCTGAGGAGTCTTGAAGTAGGAGAGATGTGCCTGATGCAAACGTTAATCTTTAATGATTTAGGAGTCCCAAATCTTCAACCAGGGGTTCACGGAAGGGGAGTGGATACTGTATGATCTGAATCCTGCTTTAGTGAAGGCAACAGGGGCAGTGAATCAGAGTGGGCCTGTGGGATATCATAACGGTTTGATTTTGCTAGGCAGATAGAAAAATATAGCTTAATCATTTAAAAAATAAAATAGATTTACTTAAAAAGTTTTAAAAAATAGATTTACTTAGTAGGCATTGCAGATTAACGGGAGGAGGATTTTTAAGAATTCCTTTCAGAAAAATGTGTTGGGCTTGTGATTGGGATTGCATTAAATCCATGTATCAGTTTTGGAAGTATGACTCTTAGAAATTGTAAATGACCATAAAGAGCCAGAAGAGATCCAATACAGCAAAAATAAGCAAAGCATCTCCGTCCCAGATTTGATGTTATGCTATAAAGCTACTGTTATAAAGACATGGAACAGAACAGGGGAGGCAGAAACAACCCCCAAGCAATTCAGCTATTTGATCTTTGACAAAGGAACCAAAATTATACACTGAAGCAAAGATGGCCTCTTTAATAAATGATGCTGGGGAAACTGGCTCTCCACATGTCCTAAAATAAAAGTGGATCTAATAAGTAAATGTTAGAACACACAATCGGCTAGAAGATGATAGACAGAGCCCCAGTTACATAGGAAATCAACCAATGGGATCGTATCAAATTAAGATGCTTCTGCACAGAACAAAAAACAAAACAAGCGACGAGTGAAGGATAACCTACGGCTAAACATTTTTGCCAGCTATTCCTCTGAGGACTCACATCTGGAATATATAAAGAACTCTAAAACACATTAGACCCCTCAAAAGAAAAGACCCCATCAAAAACCGGGCAGGCGAAAAGCTGGGCAGGTTCTTCACAGAAGAACAAACGGCCAGCATCACTGGCTGTTAGACAAATGCAAATTAACACTACACGGAGATTCCATCTCCCACCAGAAAGAACGGCCATCATTAAGACATCAGAGAACGGGCTGGGGATTTAGCTCAGTGATTTCGGCACCTGCCTCCCAGGTGTAAGGGCCTGAGTTCGATTCCAAGTACCAAAAAAAAAAAAAGAAAAAGAAATCAAAGAACCAGAAAAGCTGGTGAGGCTCTGGGACTGGGGTGGGGGAGTCCTTCCACCCCCACCGGTAAGAATGTAAACCAGTACAACCTCTGTGGAAAGCAGTATGGAGATTCCTCAAAACACTGCAACCAAAAATTCCATCTGACCCCTAATTCCCGCAGCCCCCGCTTCCCGAGAGAGTTCAACATGTCGTGCTACAGAGATCCGTGCACACCCATGTCGCTAGAGGCACAACTTCTCACAGCGGAGCCTCAGAAACAGCCTCTGGGACCATGTGCCGACCCCACCCAAGGAATGAAAAAAAGAAAATCCGGAAACAGAAGATTTCCTTTTGGATACACAGCGGCCAGTGTTGGGCAGACTCTGTCGCTGGCGGAAGTCGGTGAAGGAGCCCTCGGTGTTTTGGAAGTGGCTTGAGGTGAAGAAACAGCCCTGCCTCTGTACCGCGCCACAAGCTTCCTCCCTGCAGCATGGTCTCAGTGGGTCTCCTCCCAGACCTTGCTCCGAGCGCCAGCATGCCACGTGGGGCTCCCCACATCTGAACCCACAGAGTGCAGCACCACCCACTTTCCCAGAGTGACCGGCGCTTTCTGCCCCAGGACCTCTCCGACATCGCTGCACTGCTCCAGAGTAGCAAAGGACAGGGCCCCAGGACTTTGCGCTCACAGCAGGTCTTGCCGTAGCCCCAGACCGGTCCCAGGGCTTCCTCTGCACCCTGCTCGAACTCTGCAACCTTCTTACCTCCATGACCTGGGTAATTTCTTCTATATTCTGTTTCACTTTTTGCATTCTGTTCTGCAAGTTATACAGAATTTCTCGCATCTCTTGAATGTACTGAAACACACCTGAAACAGAAGTGTAAAGGAATCTTAGGCAATCAACTCAGCAAGGCGGAAATTTCCTGGGTTGGCACCACAGGCATTATCCTAGAAAACCTGTCTCGTTCTAGGTCACGAAACAGAAGGCATCGCTGTGAGCTCCCTGAAACTGAATCCTGAGGAACAGCGTGCACTTGTTGGCAAGGAGACTTCCTCATCTCCAAATGTGTGGACGACTCACGTCATCCATGAACCCCAGACTCCTGAAGTCAAAGCCGCCTCCTCTCCGTAAGCCCCAGCCCCTCCAATACTGAGAACCCCAGAGATGTGGGCCTCTCTGCAAAGCAGCAGGGCCTGGGGCTGTGTCCTCAGCAGGAGTGGGAGGGAGTGTGGCCAACACGGGAAAGTCCAGGCAGACCCCGATTTCAAGGGTGTGATGGGAACATTCGATCCCACTTCTGAGAACTGGGGAGCAAGGCACGGCAGAGGGGGACCGAAGGGCGGCAAAGGCACACAGGAGGTCCTGAGGGGAGGGGAGCAATGACGGGGGCCTGTCAGGGTGCTAGAGGGGTCAGGAGGGCAGAAAGGTTGGGGCCCCCTCCTGCCAGGTGGTGGAACGGAGGGAAGCTGCCCTGAAGGCTGAACTTCCTTCTGCGTTTAGCGCTGGGCCACCGAGATGTACAGTACCTTGCTGACTGGAACACAGTGGGTAGAAAACAAGAAAGGGAGGGCCTCCCAACCCAGTTTGGAAAAATTAGGACCTCTTGGCCAAAGGGGACTTTGGCCAGTGCTGGTGTAAGTGACACAATCGTGCCCTTTCTGGACTGGGCAGGTGGTTGGAACTGTGCCGTGGCTTTAACCCTAACCCAGGTGCAGGGAGGGCAGCTGCATGAGGCCAACGGGTAGATGTGGCCGCTCCCTGGGTCTCAGGACAGCTGCTAGACGGGACGCCCTGAGCTCAACCCTCTTGGGATGAGCAGAGCCTTCGTACCTTCGCCGCCGTTCCAGAACAGTGTCTTCTCAGCACTCAGTAACTTGACATCAATTGCTTCCAATTCTAATTTGATTAGTGGAAATTCCACATCCATCACAGTCATCTTTATCTGTAGAACAAAGGCCACCAGGGTTAGGGTTTTGTTCCAAATCCAGCCCGATTTTAAATTGGGAAGGATCAGACGATGGTCAGGATTTTTATTACTCAACATGACCTGAGCCAGTTACACTTAGTGTAATTTGTCTGGGAATTTTACATGAATTATATTTCTGAGCTGGGCACTGTGGTGGCCTAATCTGTAATCCCAGCTACTCAGGAAGTTGAAACAGGAGGACCACAAGTTCAAGGTCAGCCTGGGCAACTTAGTGAGACCCTGCCTCAAAATAGAATTTTAACCAAGGGATGTACGCATCTCAGTGGTAGAGCTCCTGCCTAACATGTGTGAGGCCCTGAGTTCAGTCCCCAGCGATAGGGACAACAAAACGTATTTAGCGCCATTCCGATGTCCAAGTTATTTTTATCAGAGAGGATTTATGTACACACTTAACTCCTCAGTGTCTATGTTCTGGGGTAGAACAGGACGAAATGACTGTATAGTAAAAGCAGTGAGTGTATTGTCCTCGGTTTTTGTATTTGGCTGAGTCTAGAAAGAAAAGCAGAGAAGTACAGGTGAACAGCTGGAGCATTGCCGGGAGCAGAACCTCTCCTTGGTCTTATACCGGAAAGCCAGAAACCTAAAGAACAGGGAAGCCGGGATCTGCTAATAGACCTGTGTGAGGGACAGGGTTGGTTCTGTGCAGCCTCAGCAGAGCTCTGCCCCGCTCTGCGAAACGATCGCTTAGGAACCTGAATTCACAAAACAAAGACAGAAGTAAACCAGAGCAAAAGCAAACAAACAAAAAAAACAACGAAGAGGGAGGGTTGTATACAGTGTTTGCAAATTACCTCATCCAACCACGCTTTGCTTTCTATCTTTTCAAGGACACCGCTGGAGAAAGGAGACTTACCGAGAATGCAAAGCAAATGTTAGAGGCCGATGGCTGGCCTTCCAGAGCGACCTTTTTACACATTTGGTATTTTAAGCGGTGACCCCATCAAAGCTTCAAGTGTTTCCGGACCAAGGACTCTTAAGAGCTGGCGGGTAAGGGCACGGGGAGAGCGCTGAGCGGCGAGGACCCGCTGAAGGTCAGGCAGATGTAAAAGCAGCTTCGCAGAACTCAGAGCAAGGCAGCGCGAGGCAGGACCCCTGGGTCAGGCTGGCTGGCACGCGGCGACAAGGACTGTGGTCCCCCTTGTGGAGCGCGTGCTCGGAGGATCTCGGAGGATCTCACACCCTGGCTGTGTTTGCAGCTAAGCCCCGGAAGGCAGCGCTTTGGACCAAATTAGCCAGCTGGGCTCCTGCAGGCTCCACATGGACAGAGCTGGTGGGTGATGGGTAATCAGAACCCAGGGCCGTGGCCGGGCAGCCTGGAAGGGGCAGCACTTTGTGTCGTGAAGGCTTCAGACCTTGCAGGAACTTACCCCGATCCTTGCCAGCTCCCACGCCCACAGGCGTAGCTGGGCACCACCACGTCCTTGTAAAGCCAGTGCAGGGAAAGCTCGGGCCGTGCTGCCTGCCCACACGTTTAATTGTTCCTGGCCCACAGCCTCAGTGTGACTGCACCCTCCTGGGCCCCGGGCCCCAGCCACGTCTAGGGCGCACACACTCCAATGAGGGCCCAGAGGCACCAGGAAATCCCTCGAGGGACTGCATCCACTCAAGCCAAGCTGCGATGCTTGGGGATGCTTGTGGTTGGGAGGTCTGTGGAGAAACCACTCGAAGAATAAGACCCAGAACCACCTGCAGGGAGAGAGATGGGGTCGCAGCGCAGGGACAGGCTCTTCTCCTTGCCTCTCTCCTCAGCGCAGTAGTTTTGTTAGCGGTAAAACAGAATCCAGGACTGAAGGCAGGCTGGACACCACAGGCTGGGTTGGCTCTGTTTGGAAGTACAGTAGCGGAAGGCCAGTTTCTTCTATTTTTGGTTCACTGGGCTTCTTTTTCCTGATTACAGGGTCATTGCAGACTGTCTTTTGCCCTGGATGCAACCCGTGAACATTTCCCTGCAGCCTACCTCTCCGCAGCTTCCACCTTCCCTGGACACTTTGGCTGGCTCCAATCCAGGCAATGGGGGATGCACGTTATTTAAGGACTGGTTCTGGAGGGGGCGGATTTAAGGAAGGTCACTTAAAACAGGCGCTGGTGTCAAACTACTGGTTAAGACAAACTTCCTTTATCCTGAACACCTTCCGGATCTCCGTTCTGTCCTGCTCCGTCCTTTGGTTGCCCGGGCTGGGGGCTGAAATTTCTGCTCCATCTTCACGATGGTGCCAGCCAGTGTGCTGCATTTACCTTAGCTTTCCCAGTCTGCTTGCGGGGAGCCCGGGTCACCAGGCAGGGGATAGACACATCCCAGTCTCCCCCTACCTGTGCCCCAGAGCTTCCTGCGCACTGATGTGTCTCTGAGGCGCCCAAGGTGGCACTGAACCGATGGGCACGATCAGTGCCTCAGTGCCCCAATCCGTCCACAAGGTGTCCTGTTGGCGAGTCCCTCATGATAGGGTAATGCCGGAAGTCAGGAGTGGCCCTGACACCCTCGGTCCCTGAAGAAAGGTATGTGGTCACCCCCTGCTCACATACAGGGCAATGCAGGACTTAGCAGGGGTAGCGAGGGGCAGGACACGGCTGGAAGCCCACGTTCCGAGTCACGTCACGGGTGGAACTGGCAGGATGGGTTTTCAGGTCCGAGGGTAGCACCAAAAAGGCCACCCACCCAGGAGCAGCGGGTATGTGAGCGTCTTGTGGACAGCTGAGCCGAGAAACATGGTGCGATGGTTGTGTCAACTCGAATACGAACGGCGGGTATGAGCGTCTTGTGGACAGCTGAGCCGAGAAACATGGTGCGATGGTTGTGTCAACTCGAATACGACAAGCTCCACTAACCTGGCTCAGCCATCCCACACCCTCAGAAGACCCACCCGAGGCGCTTTATAGCGGTGTAAAGGGGAGTGGAGGAGGACAGATCAGCTTCTGCTGCTTCAGAGGGGCTCCAGTCTTCCCCTCCACCCTGGACGTCATCTCCTGGCTTCCAGATTCTTCGGCTCCCAGTGTAGACCCCTTGGCCTTCCATCCCAGACCCATTGGCCTCCTGATGCGGACTCTCAAGGGACACTGTGGTGAGCTCCAGGCCTTTGACTGGAGCCTTTGGCCTCCAGTGTGCAGACGGCCCCTCTGCATTCTTCAGCCATCTGTGGGTGGCCACTGTGAGCCAACCCCGTAAATTCTGACGTATTTATCTATCTTGTATTAAACCTGTTTCTCTACTCAACACTGACTGATACAGGTGCACATGGAAACCAACACACAGAGGATCCGAGAGTTGATCCATTTGGGAGAGGGCAAGAACATGAACCCATCTCAGTCCCGGGGAGGTCACTGAAAAAGGCAGGCTACAACAAGGGGGCCTCGGGGATGGACTGAAAATGGGCACGAGGCTCCCTTCCTGGGCAGCCTGCATCTCCCTTGCTCCTGTCCCTCTGCTCCCCGATGGCTCCCATGTGGCTGGGCTGGGCTCCTTTCTACCTGTCTGTGTTCACCAGCACCCGGAAGATCCTTTCTCTCTGGGCCTCGATTCTGTGTCCAGGAACCCAAGCAGAGGTGTGCGGACCCACGTGCGGTCCTCCAGAGACGCCCAATCCCAGTCCCGCGCGTCTGTCGTCCTGCATGGTAATAGAATCCTCAGGGTTTAAGGTAGGGGTCTGGATGGGGGGGGTCACCTGGATGGGCTGGATGATCCAGGGATCAAACAGAATGACAAGGAGACTCATAGGAGGCGGCGGCGGCCGTGTGTTACTGGAGCAGAAGTCGGAGCCACCTGCTTCGGCTGTATGGTTGACCGTGTCTGTACACCTGGCTGTGCCACAGGGGGCCCCAGACGAAATGTTCTTCCAGGTGTTTCCAGATGTGGTTGGCTCAGAAAAGTCCCAAGGCCCAGAAGCCTTACGCCAATGCCTTGAGGGCTGGGAGACCCTCAGGCGAGAGGGCCCTGGCCCCCTTCTCCTGGCTCGCTGTCAGGCTGGGAGCTCATCTCCTGCGCTCCTGCTACAGGGCTAGGATTCACATCGCCTGCTCCCCTGATCCGATGAAGTCACAGACCCAGCCTTCCCAGCTCGCCAGTGTGCAGATGGCGGGTCTTGGGACCTCCCTGCCTCCATCACTGCGTGAGGCTGTGTAACGAATCTCCATGTTGTATCTCCACCTCCTGTTGTTTCTCTGGAGAAGCCTGGCTGACACGGGGCCACTACCCAAGGAATGCAGCAGCCTCCAGAAGCCGGACAAACCTCCAGCCTGCCCAACAGTTGGCTCTGCATTGGAGGCACAGACCCCGGAACTCCTGACTTCCAGAACTGGAGCACAGGAGAGGTCTGTGCTGCTTGAGCCCACACAGGAGGCAATGTTCTGTCATAGCAGAGTGGCAAATCCGTAGTCTCCACACCCGCCCCATTGTGGTGCCACCAGTGGTCACTGGAACCAGTCAGATTTCCTTTGTTGTGATAAAATACCCGAGGGAACCAATTTAAAGAGGGATTTCTTTTAGCTCGTGGTGCCTGAGGTTTCAGCACAGGGTTGGCCCAGTTGCTTTTGAGTCTGTGGTGAGGCCAAACATGATGGCAGCGGGAGGGTGTGGTGGTGGAGGACATTCACCTCATGATAGCCAAGAAGCATGATGGGGGGAGGGAAGAAGGGGGAGGGAAGAGAGG